TGGACTCAAACAATGATGGATCTGGACAACAGTGTTATACCCTCCAGTGTATTTCTGACTTCTTCAGGTTCAGCTTGACCCAGCTGAAACAGAGGGTTTAGAGTCCTTCTGAGGCCCCTTCTACACTGTCCTTTTATCCCAGGGTCTGATTCCAGATTATCTAAACAGTATATATGGCAGTGGGAACTCATATAATCCAGTCCAGCAGTGGTGGCTGCTCAGCTGTGGAACTCCCTCCCCAGTGACTCCCTCCCTCCTGGCCTTCAGAAAGAAAGTGAAAATCTGGCTTTGGGATAAAGCCATTGGAGATTAACTATAGAGCAATAATAGCTATGAAATATGTGCAATGCTTATTGGAATGGCCCCGGATTACAATTGTGGATGGTGTGAGTTTAATAGTGAATGTAATGTTTTTATATGTTTTAATGTGTATTAATTTCAACTTAAATCTATTTTAATTGTATGTTGTTCAAAGGCATTGAATAGTTGCCTATATGTAAAGTCGCCTTGAGTCCCCTTCAGGGGAGAGAAAGGTGGGATATAAATAGGATACATAAATAAATAAAGCAGATAACCTGGGATCAGATTCTGGGATATAAGTGCAGTGTAGAAGGGGCCTGAAAGGTCTTCTATATATGCACTAAAACCTGGAAGAAGCCGGGATAAAAGGTTGTGTGTAGCTAAATGACATTTTGCAGGCTGAATTGGGTTAACAGATGAAAAGCATGTGTTCAAAAGGTGCGCTTAAAACCCAATCCACCCAAAAATGTGCATATATGCATGACTGTATATTCCTGCAGTCATAGAAAACACGTGACTTCCTTCCTATACCCTAGTATGGACTGCTGCCCTTGTCCACCCGCATTTTCCTGCAAAAGCTTTCAAAAATAGAAATGTTACGGGAAGAGAGGGAATATTTATTTATTTATTTCCTATATTTTTATCCCGCTCTTCTCACCCCCGAGGGGGGACTCAGGGCAGCCTCACAAAAGCACTGTATGATTCCAACATCATAAAAACAATCAGACAATACATTAAAAATATTAAAAAAACATTAATTAAAACAATTGATTAAAGTACACCTGTTAAAATCAGAATCCAAAATCCAGTCCAGGGTCAATTCATTGTCTTAAGTCTTCTTTCACCTGCATTCACTGGTTGAATGCTTGGTCCCATAGCCAGGAGGGAGGTGGCCAGTCTGATGTCCCTGGGGAGGGAATTCCACAGACGGGGGGCCACTTCTGAGGAGGCCCTGTCCCTTGTCCCCACCAATTGCATTTGCGATGGTGGTAGGATCTTTTAGGTTATTCCTGGACAGACTAGACTCTTGCTTTTTTCCACTCTACTTAGAGAAGGAGATGGCTTCTTTTTAAATTAAAAGTACACAGTTCTTACATACATCCAAGGTTAATCAGACTTAGGCTTTTGGAGTCATAATTTCAGCCAAAATGTCTAGATTTATATGTGTATAAATATACTAGTACCTTACTACTGAGGATATGTTAAGATGATAAGCTTTTATTTAATATTGAATGTGATACACAAATGGAAAAGAAACTATCTATCTATCTACCCATCTATAGATCTCTATATAATGACTTTCATGCATCAAACAAAGACATGGGAAAACGTAAATATCCCAAAGTGGTGGGATCCACAGTGGGATTATAATCTGAATTCTTCTGCAATATATTATACAGAACTGAGGGTACATCTACACTTAAACATTAAATCAGTTTGACACCACTGCCTTGGCTCAGTACTATAGTATCATGGCAGTTGTTATTTTACAAGGTCTTTAGCTTTCTCTGCCAGAGTGCTGGTGGCTCACCAAACTACAATACCTAGTATTCCACAGACTTCAGTCATTGCAATTAAAGTGAGGTCAAACTGCATTTACTCAACAATTAAGGCCCCATCTACACTGTCAGATAAAATCCAGATTATTTATTAATTAATTATTTATTTAAAACTTTTATATCCCGATCTTCTCACCTCCGTAGAGGGACTCAGACCGGCTATGTACTTTTGAACTGGATTATATTAGTCTACACTGCCATATAATCCAGTTCAAAGCAAATAATCTGGATTATGTATGGCAGTGTAGCCTAGGCCTTTCAATTTCACTTCATTTTGAATTTGAAAAATCTCTAGTGTGGGGAATTCAGTCTTTAGGATGGTGGAGTGGTCAGGCCAAAGCTCTGAAAGCTCCTGCCTTTGCTGTGGAGTTCACCAGGGTGCTATCCTCTTGCCCCTGTTATTTAACATCTACGTCCGGCCACTTGCTGGACTGGTGCGGAGCTTTGGCATAGAGTGCTACCAGTATGCAGATGATACCCAGCTACTCTTGCGTCTCGAACCTGGGACAACTGCGATTCCTGAGAACTTTAAGCTGTGTTTGGAAGCAGTGATGAGTTGGCTACGAGCAAGCAGACTAAAAGTCATCCTGCAAAAACTGAGATACTCTGGCCCGGCCAGCTGCCAGAATTAACCCAGTCTCTGCCTGATTTCGATGGGGAAGCTCTGGTTCCGTCTGCCACTGTTAAAAGCCTTGGGGTTGTGTTGGACTCATCGCTGACGATGGAGGCCCAGATCACTGCCATAAGGAAGCAGGCCTTTTTTCATCTTCGCCAGGCAAGGAAATTGGCATCTTACCTTTCGGTAGAAGCATTGGCAACAGTAATCCATGCAACAGTCACCACGAGGTTGGACTATTGCAATGCCTTATATGCTGGCCTTCCGAAGTCAACAACCCAGAAGATTCGGATGGTCCAAAATGCAGCAGCCAGGCTGCTAGCGGGATCATCTATAAGATCCCATATTACACCGATTCTGCAACAACTGCATTGGCTACCAATAGAACATCGGATCTCTTACAAGATACTGATCCTGACATTTAGAGCTCAAAATGGCCAAGGACCTTTATATCTTAGGGACCGCCTCATTCCTTTTCCCCATCAGTGGTCACCTCGATCCACCCAGGAAAATCTCCTATACATACCGCCTAGGGAGGTACACCTGGAAGCTACAAGGCGTAGAGCTTTTTCGACCTATGCTCCAATTCTGTGGAACTCATTGCCTCCATACATTAGAGCAATGTCGGAGTTGCGACCTTTTGCAAAGGCGCTCAAGACTTGGCTGTTTGGTTGTGCATTTAAGTAACCGGATCAAATTTTGCCATAGTCACTGCTGAATGTTTTTATGTTGAATGTTTTATGTTGAATGTTTTTATATTGAATGTTTTATATTGTGTATAAACTGTTTTAAATTGTAAGTCGCTTGGAGCACCTTGGTGGAGAGCGGCTAATTAAGAAATAAAGTGATGATGATGATGATGAAGTGGATGATGATGAGGATGAAAGTCTTAGGTTTTGTGTTGACATTTAGTTCCTGTGTTTCTAAGTTCAGCTTTGTATATTCAGGCCTTACTCTAAAGCCTACCTTGCCATCTTCCTTTTGGGATGAAAGGATGAAAGATGGGAGTGGGGTAGGTGGGGGTTGTTACAGAAAACATTTAAAATCTTACAGGTTCTCCTTTGGGTCCAGGAGATCCAGGGCTTCCTCTAGCCCCCTTGACACCAGGACTGCCAAATGCTCCATTCATGCCTTTGGGTCCCTTTGGAAAGTAGAAGGAAGAAGAAATTAGAATTCATTGGAGGTGGTTGACAACAGAAGACACTGTTCCGGGCTTACAAACAACTAGGGTGACTTCCCCAAATACTGGCTCTTGGATTTCGGCAGGGCTCTATCCTTCCTCCCTGTTTCAGCCTTCTTCCCAAGAGTGGGACTCCTCACTTTCATCAGCTAGCCAACAATAAAAATAATCAGTGAACAAACTCTACTTGGTCATATCTTGTTGCCGAGCTTTTAGTTTTAATTTCTAACTGTTCAAAATGGCCACTGAGAAAACATTTTGCTGAGATCTTGTGCTGTATCTATATAAACAGAGTTCCTGTCCCAACTTTTCACTCAGAATACCAGGAGCCCCCGGTGGCGCAGTGGGTTAAAGCACTGTGCCAGCAGGACTGAAGACCGACAGGTCGCAGGTTCGAATCCGGGGAGAGGCAGATGAGCTCCCTCTATCAGCTCCAGCTCCTCATGCGGGGACATGAGAGAAGCCTCCCACAAGGATGATAAAACATCAAAAATCATCCGGGCGTCCCCTGGGCAACGTCCTTGCAGACGGCCAATTCTCTCACAACAGGAGCGGTTGCTCCTGACACGAAATGGAAATGTGACACTATTTCCTGTGCTGGTCAATGACCGAAATAAATGTTTTGATTTGATTTGACAAAAAACCCCAAAAAACTCAGAATACTCAAGGCAGCTCATTGTCCCCTTTCTTCACTAATAGCAGCTCTGTTTCTCACTCTATATATCTCAAAAACAAAATCAGATGAAAAACCTACGGCTAACTGACCCATTGTCAGCAGACAACAATCAGCTCAACAGCACAACAGGCCTGTCTGAATATAGTATTTGAATATATGGCAGGAAAAGGGGCATGTTGCCAGTGAAATGGCCCTTGGGTTTTGTGAAAACAGAATGATAGACTACATTTTGGGATATTTCTCTGCTTTGATTATTTTTCTTCTTCTAGATTGAGTAATTGGGTTTGTGTTACTAAATTGGAAGATATGCTTCCCTGGAAAACTCCAAAGGGAAGGAAGAAATATTACTAATATTAGGCTCCAGTGTCCAATATTTATACCAAGAATGGGAGTGGAAAGTGACCACACGAGCCATCCAGGCCAAGCCGTTTCTTCAATGCAGGAAAACACAATCAAAGCACTCCCAACAGATGGTCATCCAGTCCTTGCTCAAAAACCTCCAGAGAAGGAGACTCAAACACTCTAGGTTATTACTAGGACATAATCAGATCATTTTATTTATACTTTTAAATATCCCCCTGCCAGTGTCCTCCTCTCATGATTTCAAGATTATGCTAACAGCCATGCAACGGCTTGAATTTCCAGAGGCTCGAGAAGTTTCACATCTTTTCTAAACTTATTGGTGTGTGTGTGTGTGTTGGGTTATAACTTACCCTATTTCCTTTTTCTCCAGGTGGCCCAGGTTGTCCATTGCGACCAGGTCGTCCAGCATCACCCTGAAATACAAACAAGAAACCACAGTCAAAAAAGTCACTCCAGCAGCCCATAAGTGGCCTTGTATACCAGCGCTTACCAAATGGACTCAATTCAACAACCCCGGCAGGACTATTCAGAATTCTAATATAAATTAGAGAGTGTATTCTGTATCGAGGTTGAGTGGTTTGCTATTTGATACTTAGCACTCCACTTTTGTTTTATGTTAACTGTTTATATACCAGTTAAGGTCATTTCCGCAGCATGACAGCCACAGCTGGGAACATTTATATTGCTGCCTTCCTTCAGAAAACTGTATTTCCAATTCACAATTGGCATTTCCGGAATCCAATTTCAAGTGGCTATAAGATGTGCTGAGCAGAGAAATGGCTACATGGTTTTGAATGGCTTATCAAATAGAGATGGGACTTTGGGCTCAGAAAGAGCAGCAACTCTGGATCAGATGAGGTGGTCCACGAGTCCATGTGGGATATTCTACTTCCCACTATTTGCCTCTAAGAAGCTCTCTCGTTCACATTTAGGGTCTTTCATTGATATTTGCAAGCCTTTATTTAGCTCACAAGGATAGTAGCTTCTGACCCACCTGTTTTCTCTGCCACATGTTTATTATAATTTTTCTAAACCAGAAAGTCCTAGGTGCACTAATCTAAATCCATTTTAAGAGTAGTAAATTGAAAATCCCCATTTAAGCCGTTGCAATGGAATATATCTTTGCAAAAGCCATCGTACAAAACACCTGAACAAGAGTTTTTGCAAGTTAATTGGCAGTACAGCGGTTGGACCATCATGTTATGCTAGCAGAACTATATTAGATACCATTTGTGTTGAAAATGTACATTTTTTTTATAACTCAGTGGCATAACTGGATAAAAGATCTTTTTGCCTTTCCTATATAAAATCTGAGTCATTTTAGATGCACTTTCCTAGTACTGCTATGACATACATGAGTGCTATGAGTACAGGTGATCAGAACTGTTTCCAATATTCACAAAGCAGTTTTATATAATGCCATTATGATAGTGGCTGTTTATTGGATACACCCTTCACATTCATGAGCTAAACTAATCTCATGCCTCTCTCTCAACAGCTTTAGCTTACTCTCCCTGACAAGTTGGAGCCTTCCTTTTTGGTCATCTTAAAGAATGGCACAGACCTTTATCCCTTCATCTCCAGGTGGCCCTTGATCTCCAGCACTTCCAGGATAACCATCAAGACCCTGAAAAGAAATCCCAAAAAGAACTGTTTATAAACCTGACTATGAGGCTTATCTTTCAGAAAATATAGCAACAGAACCAGGTAAAAGAATGAACAAACCATTAAAAATAAACACATTTGCCTTTGTTCCCTGATGCCTGGCTCTGATAGACCTGAACATATTCTTACCCTGTCGCCTGGGTCTCCTTTGCAGCCAGGAGGTCCAATACGTCCCAGTCTGCCCTGGAAAGATCACAAATAAAATTGGAGGAGATTATAAACATTATTCACCAAAATTCCAATCCCTATCTAGTGATTTACCTGATTTTAATAAACACACTGAATCCAGGTTAGTTTATCAAACTGAGGGAATCATCTATATAAATAAAAATGTAATGTTCATTTGTGGGATTAACAAAACTAAAAAACCACTGAACAAATTGACACCAAATTTGGACACAAGACACCTAACAACCCAATGTATGTCCTTCACTAAAAAAATGATTTTGTCATTTGGGAGTGTCCTTTGGTTTTGGAGTTGTCGTTCACCTATATCCAGAGATCACTGTGAACTCAAACAATAATGGATCTGGACCAAACTTGCCATGAATACTCCATATGCCCAAATACAAACACAGATGGAGTTTGGGGGGAATAGACCTTGACATTTGGGAGTTATAGTTGCTGGGATTTATAGTTCACCTACAATCAAAGAGCATTCTAAACCCCACCAATGTTAGAATTAGGCCAAACTTTCCACACAGAAGCCCCATGACCAACAAAAAATACTGTGTTTTCTGATGGTCTTTGGCGACCCCTCTAACACCCCTTTATGACCTCCGCAGGTTGAGAAATGGTGCCTTAAGGCCACCCAGTCCAACCCTTCACCAGGGCAAGAAAACATAACCAAAGGCCTCCTGATAAAGAGCCACCCAGCCATAGGTATAGATAGATAGATATGATTCACACATCTACACAACCACAGAATGTGGCAGAAGAAACTCCTGAAAATACCTGCAAAGGTCTGGATCTTAGTGGAAGAGTGCAAGTATGGAGGAAGTGGGGGCTGTCTCCTGGGATTGCCATTTGCGATCCTAGATAGCATCCCCACAGCTATCCTTCTTCCTCAAGCTAAGGCTGCCTGGGGAGGAGGGAGGGCAGTGCCTTCCCTGTCTCCTGTTTAGCCAATGAAAATAGAAACAAAACATCTGTATGGTGCACTGAGGTTGCCTTACCTTTCTGGGGCTTGAAAATGAAACTAGGGAGCTTTCAAGAAGGGAAGGGAGGAGGGAAATGAAACTAAAGCTCTTTAGTCTCATTTTCAAGGACCACGAAGGTAAGACAAGCCTAGTATCTTTGTGCAGAGAATTTTCCTCTCTTTTTAAGAGCTAGAGGGTCAGGGCGAGAAGGTATAGGTCCCCATCTGTGTCGATTGTCAAAAAGGTGGAGTTTCAGCCCCCAGTGAGGCTGAGAAATGTGTGTTTAAATGCCCATTCCACTCACATTTTGGCCAGCGTAGAAGGTCCCTGAGTAACAATAAGTACCATTTCCCGAGACATGACTAGAACTTTTCTTGTTAGAGCACCATGGGACACAATGCTGCCTTTTAATTCTTGAGTGAGCCAGACTTGGCAAATAACAGTCAGCACACCTCAAATATTCTTCATCTCTTATGTGCCTTCTACTTCTCTTTTAACTAATACTATTCTGGGTTTTTCTTGGAAAGATTTATTCAGAGGGCATTGGTTGAAGCACGTGACTTCCTCAAGATCATCAAATTGATTTCCATGACTAAGTGGGGATTTGAATTCTAGCTTTTCCAAGTCCTAGACTCCTTTTAGGTTAGTGTGATCATGGGATCAGCCTACACAACAGATGCAAGCTGATCTGGTACTTCTCGACCTTACCGCAGCGTTTGACACCGTTGACTACGATCTAATGATTCACCGTCTTGCCATGTCCGGAGTTCGTGGTCAGGCCCTCAATTGGTTCAACTCATTTCTCCGGAACCGGAGTCAACGCGTGGAGTACATGGATCAAGTCTCCGATAGATCCCCCCTCCTATGTGGGGTCCCCCAAGGTGCAATTCTCTCTCCTCTTCCCTTCAACATCTACATTAGACCCCTTGCTAGTTTGGCTCGGAGTTTCGGCCTGGACTGCTACCAATATGCAGACGATACCCAACTCCTTCTGTGCCTGGAGCCTGGAGCAACGTCAATTCCAGACAATTTCATCCTATGTCTGGAAGCTCTGTCAAACTGGCTACGTGCTAGCAGACTGAAGGTGAACCCAGAGAAGACTGAGATTCTCTGGCATGGCCGCCCGGCAGGTCTGACTCCTCCATTACCCACCTTTGATGGTGCCGCCCTATCTCCATCGACCACTGTTAAGAGCTTAGGTGTCGTCCTGGATTCGCAGCTGACAATGGAAGCTCAGGTCACTGCTGCCAGCAAACAGGCCTTTTTCCATCTACGACAAGCGAGGCAACTGGCACCCTACCTATCTGACGAGGCTCTGGCAACTGTCATCCATGCCACGGTCACATCTAGGCTGGACTATTGCAACGCCCTGTATGTGGGCCTTCCGATGTCTACGACCCGAAAGCTTCGTATTGTTCAGAATGCGGCAGCCAGGTTACTCACAAGAACGCCCATGAAATGCCATATAACACCAGTGCTGCAACATTTACATTGGCTTCCAACTGAGTACCGTGGCCTGTATAAGATGCTAGTTCTGACCTTTAAAACTCTTTACGGCCAGGGTCCATCGTACCTTAGGGACCGCCTCTCCTTCTCCCATCATCGGAGGTCGCAACGACCAGCCCAACGTGACTTACTCCATATACCGGGTCCTAGAGAAGTGCACTTGGAAAGGACCAGGCGCAGGGCTTTTTCTATTTCTGCCCCTGCCTTGTGGAATTCCTTGCCGCCCTACATGAGAGCCATGCGTGACTTAGGGCCTTTTACTCTAGCACTTAAGACCTGGCTTTTTACTAGAGCATTCGATCTCTGTTAATTTTTAATTTTTGTATGTATGTATTTTATCTTTTATAATTTAGCTGTAAATCGCCTAGAGCATTATCGGATGGAGGGCGATTAATAAGTTATTAAATGATGATGATGATAATGATGATGATGATGATGATGATCTGTTTTAACTCAGGGAAAGTTCCTCAACACAGCCTAAAAACAAACAAGGATTTGGCCTTTCTCATGTACACCCTGGGATTGCAAGCACCCACTTCTTATGCAGAACTGATGGTGGATGTCTTGATAGGCATCTCATGCTTCCCCGGGACACAGGATGACTGTCTCCTCCACCCCTCTCCCACCCACCCACAGCAGTTACAACAGGACCTACCTGCTACTAGTCCCTAGCTCTTCCTAATCCCATGCCATGTGACTGGCAAAGAGGGTGAAAGACTGAGGAGGGGCAATGGATGAGAAGCAGGTAGGTCTTTTTGTACCACTGTAGCTGGCAGTGGTGGGATGGAAGAGGGGTGGCAGTCGGGGTCCTGTCCTGTTGTGCTGAATTGGCTTTGGTGAAGCTGGGCAATAGGGACTCACATCTTGCTGCCAAGGCGGCTCAAGATGTCCCTGTTGGACCACAGTGTGAGTCAGAACTGATTCCAGCTCGCATTGTATGTCTGTGGAGAGCCACTACACAAAACATTGCCCTACTCTGGTTCTATATCTGTGTGTACTCCAAATATGCTGAAATGACAATGATTGGGAGAAAGAGATTCAAGAGATACTTATTATAAATATGAATTATAAAGGGAATGACTGTTAAAAATTAATCTTAGTATTTACAGTTTAATCAAAATGCTCATTGTACTGAGTAATGTTACCTTTTGTCCATCAGTGCCGTTCCTTCCTGAAAGGCCGCCAGACCCCTGAAATTAAAGAAACCAGAGCATTAGAAATAGATTTCAGTACAAAACCAGAGCTTGAATCATGGGCCACATTCAAAGACTGGGTCTTACCTTTCGTCCGTCTCCTCCATACTCTCCCTGCAAAAGACAAGAAAAATAATAAATATGTCATATTTACTAAATCAAAAGGTTATAGTGGTTTGACAGATGCCTAAGAAATCATTTGGGACATAAATTGTGGAATCTTCCTTTACTTAAATAAAGATCTAGGTTCTTGTGGGTTTTTTCGGGCTATAGAGCCATGTTCTAGAGGCATTTCTCCTGACGTTTCGCCTGCATCTATGGCAAGCATCCTCAGAGGTAGGAGGATGCTTGCCATAGATGCAGGCGAAACATCAGGAGAAATGCCTCTAGAACATGGCTCTATAGCCTGAAAAAACCCACAAGAACCTAGTGATTCCAGCCATGAAAGCCTTCGACAATACATTAAATAAAGATCATTTGAGAACAGAACAATGTATATGCAGCTCACCAAGCATTGGCCTTGTGGAATCTAAATACTTCCACAGACTATATGCAGAAGAGGCATTGGTTTACGATTAATTAGTTTTTAACGAAAGTGTTGAATATATTTAAATCTGTAACATGTTCTATTATTGCTTTATTACGTTTCAATTGCTATTTTAAAATTATATCTACTTCTTTTTATCCCAGCGTGTCATGACCGCCTTTCCTGGTGTTGAGGGGAACCATGAAAGTAGGCCATCCCTTGGCCTGTAGCTCACTTGAAGCAAGGGAGATGGTTTCAATGGAAACGGGGCTGTGAAGGAGAGGTCCAAAGCGAGGGATATGAGGTGAGAGGGAAACCAACTGTCAGATGGAACTTTGCTTGTAACTGTACTGTATGCTTTGAGAAATAAAGCCCTTCCAGTCTGTCTGTGAGGTAATTTCTTCTCTAGAAAACTGAACATGGGTGAGAAAAGTAGGATATAAATTAATAAATAATTATAATTGATTGGACTTCAGCTTTGAGTAGCCTGCCCCTCAGAATTATTCTGATCTAACCTGATCAATGCACATTGCAGTTGTCATTATTCTCTCTTTCAAATGTGTGCTAATCTACACAGGGTAATTCATGAAGAGACACAAAAGATTTTAAAAAGAACATTCATAAGAAAACCGGAGTATTATTTGTTAGGTTTTACAGATTTAGATCTACAACTGACGGAACAAGAGGATAAACTTTTTACATATATGACGACTGCCGCTAGAATTGTTTTTGCTAGAGAATGGAAGAAAGACTCAGTACCACCCGTACAGGAATGGGTGGAAAAAAATCAGAGAAATAAAGGACATGGATGAATTGACTTTTTTGTTGAAGAAAAATACAGGTATGATACTAAGAAGAACGAATTGGGATAATCTCCATGAATATCTGGACAATTTGGGAAAATAAGAAACAAGAGAGACAATTTCTTTTTGAACTTATTTTATATTTTTGAATAATAAGAAGATATGATCCAAGAAGATGGAATGGAAGTCATTTTTTTTTTGTTTTTCTTTTTTTGTGTTTTTTGTGTATTTTTGTAGAATTTTTTTTAGGGGTTATTTGGGATTTTAGTATACTTTTTTGTTTCTTCTTTTTTTCTTTTATTCTTCATTTCCTCACTTTCCTATACTTTATTGTTCTCACTCTTTCGTTGTAATCTATATAAAAATCAATAAAATTCTTTTTTTTATATATAATCTTTATTAAGTTTTTCAATTTATAAAAAACATATAGACATATAATTAAAAACATATACCGTATATTCCGGCATATAAGACGACTGGGTGTATAAGACGACCCCCAACTTTTCCAGTTAAAATATAGAGATTAAGACGACTCCCGCGTATAAGACGACCCCTGATTTTTGAGAAGATTTTCTTGGGTTAAAAAGTAGTCTTATACGCCAGAATATACTGTAATTAAAAAAGTGTGCTAATCTACTGTTTAATTTAATATCAAACCAACTAATGTCATAGTTAAAACATCTTACCTTTTCTCCTTTAAATCCACGGATACCCTGTGGAAGGAACAAATAGGTATATTATTTAGTATTTGTTTAGATGTATGCCACTGGTTTAGAGTTCTATCTTCGTTTGGCTATTATATTTAAATTATGGTAATTTAAACTATGAAAATGCTCAATTTTAAATAAATAATCTAAAACCATTTTCCAGCTTTGTAATTCACACATTTCCTGACCACATATGCATGCTCAGCCCATTGTGAAAATCTGACTACATTTTTTCCACTTTTAACATTTACATTTGAAATTGTGAAATTCGGTTTGTATGTTGGGGCTGCTCCGTACACATAAAGAAAGCCACCAACTTGAATCTGAACATTACCACAATGTTCTAGATCAAGGTTTGCTATATACCAGGCAGAATATAGTTCCATATATATATATATGTTCATATCGACAGTTTCATTACTCATATCATATCAAATATTTATTATTTTTGAAAAGAACAGATTAACTCTTTCTCTCAGAGTTCATTAATGTTATGGCCTTCTGCTACATTGCTTGTTGAACATTCAATAATATTCAGCACTTACAGAGTTAAAGATGTTTTGGAGAGAGCAATAATGATAGAAGTAAATATTTTCCAGTGTCTGTGCCGCTTATCTAAACTTTCCAATATGTAAAGCAATATTCTTAGGGATCATTATACCTCTTTTTTTCATCCCTTATTCTCTCACTTCCACTCAAAATGAAAACAGCTTACATCAGTGTAAGTGTACCAAACTTAGAAAAAAACGTATCTCAAATGGAATTAGTTTTTTAATCAAACGGGTTCTTATACCTTAATCAAAATTGCATGCAGACAAACACACTTTCCTTTACTGTTGAAGGAGATGGCCAGGCCTGTAGCGAGGGGGGGGGGGGTTTAGGGGTTCAACCCCCCCCCGAAATGTTTCAGATTTTTTTTAAAACCCAGTTTACTCATGAATTTTAACTGGTTAACCAAATCCCCATGCTAAGTCTATGAGATGCAAAAAATTAAGAGTCCCTCCAGAACTGCAAATACTATCTCAAGCAAATATTTATTTATTTATTTATTTATTTGTTATTCGAACTTATATGTTGCCAGTCCCCTGGGGCTCAGAGTGGCTTACAAGAACAGGCTAAAATCTAACACAATTTAAAAACAATTTAAAAACAATTTAAAAACAGCAATATCAAAGATCAAAGGCCTGTTGAAACAGATATGTCTTACATGCCCTGCGGAAAGCTGGTAAGTCCCACAAGGCACGGACTTCAGGTGGCAGAGTATTCCAGAGTGATGGTGCCACTGCTGTAAAGGCTCTGCGTCTGGTTGCTGTTAGATGCAAGGTCTTGACACTGGGAATTTCCAATAGATCCAATGGATTTCCAATGGATTTATGGAACTCTGAACACTGACCATGAGATTGTTTACTATTGTGTTATGTACTGATGTTTTTAACCTGTTAACTGTTTAATTGCTTTTATGTATGTATGTATTTTTGACATAGGCATCGAATTGTGCCTTCTTTTGTAAGCCGCCCTGAGTCCCCCCTTGGGGGTGAGAAGGGCGGGGTAGAAGTAACTGAAATAAATAAATAAATAGATCTTGGCCCTCAGAACGGAGGGATCTCTGGGGTTTGTAGGGGGTGAGGCGGTCCCTCAGGTACATCGGCCCCAGACCATGCAAGGCCTTAAATATTGACAATTTATTCACACTGTCATTACTTGCAGCAATAGCTGATGTAGTGAAGCAACCAAGTTGGGTGTGTGTGTGTTGAATGTTCTCATTAAGGAGGCCAGACTTGGTGGAGGTGGTTGACAGGGGTGGAGCTGCAGGCTATTGAAGGCTGCTCTGCCCCCTGCTGTGCTCTTTGCTTCAGCGTGAGCTAGAAGGAAGGTTTCAACCCCTCCTGCGAAATTTTCAACCCCCCCCCCCGAAAATTTCAAGCCCTCCCGAAAAAATTTTCTGGCTACGGCCCTGGAGATGGCCACCGCAGAGCTGTTTAGATTGTCATTTTAAAATGGTTTCCACTTATTTAGACATCTACACAAGGAAAACAGCTTAAGCATGAGACTCTAAATGACTCACCTTGGGACCAGGATATCCAATTGGGCCTTCAATTCCCGGGTCACCCTATATTAAAAAAGCCAAAAGACATTATTACCGTAATTGTAATACATAATTTAAAAGATAACGAAGGCTGCTATCCTACACACATATACCCAATGATAAATCCAATTGAGTTTAGCAGGGCTTATCTCTAAGGCCCCATATAATACAGTTTGAGACTGCATTATGTGGTCAGTGTGGGCTCATGCACATAATGCAGTTAAACTACATTAAATTAAGTTTCAAATTGCATTATATGGCAGTGTAGATGGGACTTGGCTGACATATTTAGTATTAGCCTGAATACTGTTGCTAGTTCCAAGTAGAGCAGACGCTTTGAATTAATGAGATATACCCATATGTCGATAATAATTGATTTAATGGGCTTGATCTATTTTGGGTTAACCAACAGAATTCCAACCTGCATACTCACTTCTTTCCAATCATGCCAGTCTTCATTGCCAAAGGCATATGCCAAAGATAGGTACTGCTGTATTCTATCAATAGTGAACTGAATTGCTAAGACGGGGCCTTTTAAAAAGTTGAAAGCTGCTTGAAATAGTCTGCATAAATATTTCTCTGTTCTCATTCTCTCCTCCTAAACTAAAAATGTTGTTGCTCAGAGGTAAATGCTGGCTGAACATTTAATGACTGTGGTTTCCACGAGTCCCTTTCACCATGATTGGAAACCAGTATACAACGGAAGGAGGGAATACAAGACATTTGTGACTTAAGTATGTCATAACAAACTATGGTTTGTCCTGATGATGGAATCAAGCTATTTTCAGCCGGATGTTGATAGGATGTACATATATAAGTGTATGATGAGTGAGTAACCATCAAAGTAGACATTAAAAGTAGTTGTGTCTTTCTAGAAGGCAGCATGTTTTATACTTTGACAATGGGATTTCCTTGCAGATATCTGTCTTAGCAGTCAGACTTTTAATTAAATCCATGTTTGGTTATTTAGAGATAGTCATAGAGGAAAGTATATTGGAACACAAGAAAGTATGTAGTAGGACATAAGCATTGTTCATCACTTAAAGGAGCATCACATTGAAATATTGAGTAAGTAAATGGTCTAATTTGTTTCATAATATGATGTGTGTGGCTGGGTCCCTCTTAACTTTTAAATATACATATGTATTTTTAATGCACACTTTCAGTATCAAAATTGCTTTATTTACCGTGAATATACTCATATACAAGTCAACCCAAAGTATTGGTTGAGGGCTGGTCAGTTTCGGAGCTACCCTGCCATATAAAATTAATATTATCTACTTTGAAAAAGATGATATGGCAGCGTAGACTCATGTAATCCAGTTCAAAGCATATAATCTGGATTATCTGTTTTGATAATCTGGATCATACGGAAGTGTAGAAGGGCCCTCCATGGATCAGAGATTCAATTTGGACTAGAACCTGGTCTGGCAGAAAGAGTTTAATGTCCTCATTTTTTCAAAGAAGTTTCAGTTCAGCTAAGGGCCCTTGCACTTAAGACTTGAGCTTTCATTTGGTTGCTCATTGAGGCCGTTTCTAAACTGTCACATTATCAACTTTGAACTGGATTAGAATCATAGAATCAATCATAGAATCAAAGAGTTGGAAGAGACCTCATGGGCCATCCAGTCCAACCCCCTGCCAAGAAGCAGGAATATTGCATTCAATATATATATGAATATGAATATACACTGAATATACACAAAATATGAATATACACTGCCATGTAATCCAGTTCAAAGCAGTTAATCTGAATGGCAGTGCAGAAAGGGCCTTAGTTTGGACCTAATGCATTCACAGTACAAGTCATGGGTGATGCAGCTAGATGGAATGACCAGGGTCAAGGGTAAATGAGCATTAAAGGAACCTAGGCAGATGAGTAGTACACCCCTCACAACTTTTATATACATCCATCCTGTCTGAGCGTGTATCCCCCATTATTATTTAGAAAACAGAAACAGAAGCATGGTATCAGATTTATCTCAGTCTTTATGCTTTTCTTTTTTTTTAAAATTTTTATTGATTTGTCACATTTGTTACATACTATTGCATTTTATACAGCAGCCTCTTTAACATGTTGTTTTATTATTTTGCTTTGACATTTCCCCCCCTTTTCTCTTTTTTCCCCCTTTTTATCACCACAGTGCTCCCCTCCACCCGCCTCAAGCCACAATTCTTACATTCCATCTGTCCAAAATTTCATTTCTTCTTGTGACGGTAATTTTCCTTCCTTATTTTTTAATCCATTTACCACAAATCTTCCACATACAGCATCAAAATCACTTTGTTTCCATATACCTTTTTAACCTTTAATATGCATGTCAGTTTATCATTTATTGCTATTTTCCATGCTTCTTTATACCACTCCTCTATTTGTATATTCATTTCTTTTTTCCAATTCCTTGCTATGAGCAGTCTTGCTATTGTTAGTAAGTTTGTTGTCGCTTCTTTATCCTCCTTTTTCAATTGCTTATTGTTATATAATGATAGTAAGGCTATACTAGGACTTTTATCTATTTTCATATTCATTATAGTATCTATTTCTCTAAATACTTTCTCCCAAAAATTATTTACATATTTACATTGCCACCACATATGTATATATGTTCCTGGTTCTTGACACCCTCTCCAACAATTATTGAGTTATTTTTATTCATATATGCTATTCTTACCGGTGTCAAGTACCACTTCCATATTAACTTGTAATAATTTTCTTTAACTCGTATCGATAAGTTTTTTAAGTGTCTTTGTCCCCATAACTGTTGCCACTCTGTTTCACTTATTTTCATCCCTAAATCCTCTTCCCAAATCTCCTTAAGGGTACACATTTTATTTTTTTCATCTTTCATTTCAATTAATATCTTATAAATTTTACTAATTACTAATTTTACTAATTATATATATATATATCAAGTTTTCATATTCTTCTACAGCCCTTCCCTTCTGTATTATTTGTTCGAATTGATTGGGTTGGCTTCCATTTCTATTGTTTTTTTCCCAGTTTATTAACCATTGTTCTAATTGTATACAATGAAACCATGACAATTTTATTTCTTTAAACTCTTCCAACATCATTTCCCTCTTCATTTCCACCTTCATCCAATCCCCTATCCTATCTAAATTTATTTCCCTTACCTTTTTATCCATTACTTTTTAAAAAAATTTTGGGAACTTCTTTTCCATCACTATTGGGGTTATAATTGATCCCTCCTTTATTAACCTCCCCTTATATTTATTCCATACTTTCAGTATGTTGCTCAGCATTGGGTTTCTAATTTCCCTCATTTCTTTTCTAGTAAACTGTTTAAAAAATATATTCCAAGTTTCATCTTCCACTTTTCCTGAATCATTACTAAGCCAATCTATTCCCTCTTTTTTAACCATTCCTTCTATAACCAAACTTAATCTACTTGCTTCATAATATTTTTTTATATTAGGTAGCGCTAGTCCACCCTCCTTTTGCGATCTGTACCATAACTGTTTATTTAGTCTGTTTCTTTTACTTCCATTACAGTACTTATTAATCATTTGTTGCCATCTTTATGCTTTTCATGTACTTACCTGGCGTCCTTTAAGCCCAGATGCTCCTGGAGCTCCCATGTTACCCTTTGCACCCTGAACAAAGAATCAAACAAAAGAATTAGATTGCAATTTCCTGTAATAATGGCAATTTCAGTAACTTACCAAGATCCAAATATGTATGCTAGCTGATGCTTACATGGAATATCAGGCCAATGTTTTTGGCAGACAGGGGTCAACTCATTCTGGAACCCACTTACATGAAAAACTCCTTCTGGGTAATTTACAGCCACTAAAGAAATTTTTCTTTTCCACAGAGATCCTTGGGAGGAAAAGTTCTTTCTCTTCTCTCCTATTAATATTTATCTCGCATGCTTTTCTTATATAAGCTCTAACAGTAGCCTTCAGGACCTTTTCAGACCGAAAGGCAATTAATAAACTATTTTAAATGGAAAAAGTTTTAATGATGCCCTTTAGCTTACCTTTTGTCCCCGAAAACCTTTGGGGCCAGGTGGGCCTTCGATTTCTAAGCAGCTCATTTTGTAGCACTGCAACAAAAATCAAAACAGAAATTAGTTTAAATTTTCGCAGTAAAGGATATTGTGAATGCCTACCTACACTGTTGCAGAAGATGCCTCTGCAACCTTGGGCAAAGTGATCTTCAAGTGTCAGGAGCTCAAATTAAACTCATGCTCGCCTACAAAACAGCTCAGAGGCATCTGCTCCTGCTGTGTTCAATCTCCTAGAGCAAAGAAGGCTCGGGAGATTAGGGGCATTTTTCACCACTGTGCCTTCTCAGAGAGCCATAACACAACGTTCATGCTGGCCCCAAAGAGACAAGGAATTACTTCTGGGTTCAGTTTAATCTGATTTTTTTGGGGTAACTTTTGGGCTGGGCCTTTTTTCCCCCCAAAAAAGGTTTTCTCCATTTTCCCAGGAAAAAATGTTAAGAAAATTCACAAGCTTCATTTTATTATGCAGTCATCTTATTGTGAATCATAGAATCAAAGAGTTGGAAGAGACCTCATGGGCCATCCAGTCCAACCCCCTGCCAAGAAGCAGGAATATTGCATTCAAATCACCCCTGACAGATGGCCATCCAGCCTCTGTTTAAAAGCTTCCAAAGAAGGAGCCTCCACCACACTCCAGGGCAGAGAGTTCCACTGCTGAACGGCTCTCACAGTCAGGAAGTTCTTCCTCATGTTCAGATGGAATCTCCTCTCTTGTAGTTTGAAGCCATTGTTCCGCGTCCTAGGCTCCAAGGAAGCAGAAAACAAGCTTGCTCCCTCCTCCCTGTGGCTTCCTCTCACATATTTATACATGGCTATCATATCTCCTCTCAGCCTTCTCTTCTTCAGGCTAAACATGCCCAGCTCCTTAAGCCGCTCCTCATAGGGCTTGTTCTCCAGACCCTTATCATTTTAGTCGCCCTCCTCTGGACACATTCCAGCTTGTCAATATCTCTCTTGAATTGTGGTGCCCAGAATTGGACACAATATTCCAGGTGTGGTCTAACCAAAGCGGAATAGAGGGGTAGCATTACTTCCTAGATCTAGACACTATGCTCCTATTGATGCAGGCCAAAATCCCATTGGCTTTTTTGCCGCCACATCACATTGTTGGCTCATGTTTAACTTGTTGTCCACGAGGACTCCAAGATCTTTTTCACACGTACTGCTCTCGAGCCAGGCATTGTCCCCCATTCTGTATCTTTGCATTTCGTTTTTCCTGTCAAAGTGGAGTATCTTGCATTTGTCACTGTTGAACTTCATTTTGTTAGTTTTGGCCCATCTCTCTAATCTGTCAAGATCGTTTTGAATCCTGCTCCTGTCCTCTGGAGTATTGGTTATCCCATCTCTTGCTAAGTTTCTGAATTATGCAGGTTTTTTTGGTAGGATTAAATGGAAACCTGCTGAATTTGTCTTTGTGCAATTGTTGAAGTGATCCATAGCAAATTCACTGAAAAGACCATTAAGCCAAATTATATGGATTTAGATCAGATCTCCATCTGATCTGGAGATATTTTATAAGAAATACGTTGGACTGAGTTAAATTTGATTTTCTCCTATACAGAAGTGGTATTTCTTTGAAGCCTGTAGCTATGCATACTTTTCTGTGGAGATCCAGATGTTCCCAGGTTTTGACAGCAGTTCGAGTGTATCATTTTGGAAACAACACATGAAGGTACTTACCTCCCCGTAGGCTTCATGTTTCTGTGGAGGAAAGGATAAAAATGGCAAATTAATTCAGCTAAATTTAAGGAGAAAACTGTCACTGCTCTTCCTCCCATATATATGGTCTGTTACCTCAATGACCTATGTTGTTCATAGATTCCAGCAGAGAACATGAGCACCTTGAGGATCTCAGCCCTCTGCCTGGTAAAGGCTTTGCCATCCAGGCTTTATGTTGTAAAGAATAATAATACACTTTATTTATATTCTGCTCTATCTCCCCAAGGGGTAAGGTAAAGGTAAAGGTAGTCCCCTGACATTAAGTCCAGTCATGTCTGACTCTGGGGTGTGGTGCTCATCTCCATTTCTAAGCCGAAGAGCCAGCGTTGTCCGTAGACACCTCCAAGGTCATGTGGCCGGCATGACTGCATGGAGCGCTGTCCCCAAGGGGACTCTGAGTGAATTACAACATACACAGATAGGCAGACATTCAATGTCTTAATACAGTGGAATAACAATGACATAGAAATACACAGAACAAAGGTAAAAGCTTCCCCTTTCATCTCCGGCTTTCTGGAGCTCAACTCTGGCCATGGGGAGGTTCTCTTGTTCCATTTCCAAATCAACAAGTCTATTGTCTGTAGACACCTCCTGGGTTGCCGGCATGGCTGTATGGCCACTTTTATTTCCTTCCTGCCGAAGCGATACCTATTGGTCTATTCACATTTGCATGTTTTTGAACTGCTAGGTTGGCAGGAGTTAGGGCTAACAGTGGGAGTTCACCCCAACCCATGGCTTTGAACTGCCAACCTTTAGGTCAGCCGATTCAACAGTTCAATGGTTTAACCCATTGTGCCACTGCGGCCCCTGATGTGAAATGTTTATTTGGTTGTTCACTGACAAAGGAACAAATGTCAGCAAAAGATAGTATATTTTATTGAGAATGGGTGTTGAAGAGCCCTGTATTTTATTACGGTAGTCCTTTCCAGGAGGAGCTAAATGAACTGTGGGAGCACAAGGAGCAAAAGAAAAGGGTCAGAGCTCAGTAGTACAGGGCATGTTTTGCCTGTATACTTGACTCTCCATATTTGCTGATTTGCCTTTGCAAACTTGTTTAAAATGTTCTCTTTAGAACCTTCTAGGATCTGCACTGCATATAATTCAGATTATCAAATAAAATAATCCAGATTAACTGAACTGGATTATATGAGTCTACGGTGCAATATATAGTAGTTCAAAGCAGATAATTGCAGTGTAGATCCAGTCTTAGTCCTCCAATGTGACTTTGTGTGTCCATTTATATTGGAATTTTACCACAGAGTCATACTTTGGGGGGGGGGGCGGCAGTGGCTAGAGATTCCTAGAGAGAATTCATTCCAGGAACCTCTAGGTCCTCTAGTGCAACTCTATGATCAAATTTTAATGTTTTTTTTTATTTGTGGTTTTCTCTATCATTTGGGTCTTATGCTTTATCTTCAGTGCATGTAGAGGGCTGACTGTGTAAGGAATCATCAGGTTTAATATATGACTTTTCAGATTAATTTTGGAAATACAGTCTGGACAGCCACTATTAGCATTCTTTAAGTGAGGCAAGCTAACATATTGGTCTAGTTCAGAGTTTTCCAAACATTTCATGTTAGTGATGCACTTTTTAGACACGTATCATTGTGTGGCATTGTAATTCAGTTTTACTAACAAACCGAAGTTTAAAACAACTCATTGTAAGGGATATGAACATATATATAAATTGTTATAACAAAATGTATCTGAACACCACATATCTCATGAAAACCTTTCATTTATATTTTTAAATGTATAATTTGTAAGATAATAACATTCATTTCCAATATTTTGTTATTTCTTGTTACGTTCACATGTCACACCTACACACTGTAGCACCACACTAACATGTCACGTCATACAGTTTGGAAAGCTCTGACCTAGTTAATGTACCTTTGCAGAGTTTGAGTTTTTCGACTACAGGCTACTCTGTTCTGTGGGACACCTTTTCTTGGAAGGCTACCAGTTACCTTTGCTGACATGGGAAAGAAAAATACCGTTTTAACTCCAAGTCAGCTAAAGTCAATATTCCAGCCTGACTCACTACACACCACAAAAAGCTTTGGAAAGTAGGTTAAATTGGGATGTATGAGTCACCCCTGGATACACATATGAATGTTCAAATACTTAGTATGTTCACTGAATAACATTATGGTGACCCAAGCAAAGTTGCAACATTATACTAACTGATTCTTGGCTTTGAAATTTGTGTTTCTTTGGAAAATTCTGGTATATGTCGAATTTTTCTCTCTTTCCTATGGCTGGTGTGGCTACTAGACTGTCTTGGAAACCAGAAATAGCCACCCCAAGTCCCTTTGGGTGGAGAGGTGTGGGTTAGAAATAATAATAATAATAATAATAATAATAATAATAATAATAATAATGGTCCTCAACCCCTGTGATGCTCTCCACCTTTCAGTGACTATTCTCTCCTCTGTACTGTCCACTAAAGATTGGGTGAGGAGCTTCCTCTTCCTCCACTAGGATGTAGACAACCAATGGCCATAGATGACCAAAATCTGAGCAATCTCTTGTTCATGAGAGAGAGAGAGAGAGAGAGAGAGAGAGGTTATTTAATAGTACTACAAAAGGATTTTAAATCTTACCATAACTTGGATGATCCTATCAATGGTTTCAGTATCTACTTCAATGGTGTGTTTCTTTGTGGTGGCATAGTTGTTGCGGTAAAGTTCATGGGGTGAGCTGGCAATTTCTCGGAGCCCCTGTTCATATATGTTCTGACTGGGGGCTACAGCGAAAAGCTTGATCCCTGCCTCCCGGGCACGTTCAGCTTGGTGCTTCATCCCTCCACATGGGCTACCCGTGACGTGGCCATCGGTGATTACAACTGCATAGTTAGTAACAGCTGGAGATGTATTGGCAAGTATCTGCGCAGTCATGTTGGAGAGAGCACAGTCTGTAAAAGTGCCTCGCCCGATATACTGAATGTTCTTCAATTTATCGAGGTATATTTCTTTGCTGTTGGTGAAATCGCTGTAGAAAATCACCACATCTGAAAAATGAAGTCCCGCAAACTGCCAAGTGATGGACACCTGGTTCTGGTACAATTCATTCTCCAGCCTAGTGATGAACTCTGGAACAAAGCGCTTGATGTGGTCCACCAGACTCTGGATGGGCACAGTCTGCAGGGCGATACTCTCAGATGTGTCAATTACGAAGTACACTCTGACGGGACAGTCAGTTTTATCTGAACAGGAAGAAAGCAAGAAAGAACATGCTAAACAAGTCTGGGTGCCATCCATTTAGCACTATGCTACCTGGGCTTGCCAGATATCATCACAGGGGAGAAAGGTAGACATCTGAGAGTCTGTGCCCCTTCTCATTTCATTAGTATGTATAGCAGACATGGGACTGGCTTAGGAAACCTGAGATGTGAACATCAAGGCCAGCATGAACCTATTAGGTCTTTCTTCCTCTTATAGTCTGTTTGGAATACAAAAAGAATAATATTGATTTAAATTTGAGGGTTATGGTGAGAAATGTGGTTAAAGGCTGATATCCTGTCGATTAGTCTCAACTAGAATAAATCTGGCCTAAATGCTACAAGATCCTGTATGATCTTGGAATCTAAGCAGGATCAATCCTCATTAGTATTTGGATGGGAGACTGCCTACAAATGCCACATGTTGTAGGCTATATATTTAGAGAAAAGAACTGACAAGACCACCTCTTGAGTATTCTTTGTCTAATAAAGTGCTATAAAATTCCACGAGTCACCATCAGCCAACTGGCAATTTGAAAGCACCTGTACATTCACAGAGTAAACTCATTAAATCCATTGTTGAATGATACATTCATCATTCATCATTTAAAGTGCTGGCGTTGGCCTTTAAAGCCCTAAACGGTTCCGGCCCAAGCTACCTATCTGACCGCATCTCTGCCTATGAACCCACCAGGACTTTGAGATCTTCCGGGGAGACCCTGCTCTCGATCCCGCCTGCTTCTCAAGCTCGGCTGGCGGGGATGAGAGATAGGGCCTTCTCGGTGGTGGCTCCTCGGCTGTGGAACGCCCTTCCTACGGACATTAGACTAGCACCATCTCTAATGGTATTCCGCAAAAAGGTGAAGACCTGGATGTTTGAGCAGGCGTTTGAGTAATTTAGTGCAATCTGGTAATGGAACATAGGAATGGAACAATGGACGACGAACCTGGACTACGCTTGGATGATGAGAAGATTGGGTACGGTTGTTTTTGTAATAATTGTGCATTGTAATTGCTTATTGGTAATTTATGGATAATGTGTTAAGTCAATTGTTATATGTTGTATGGAACCACTGCTGTTTCTACGGTTTTTACTGTTTGTGAACCGCTGTGAGTCGCCTTCGGGCTTGAGATACAGCGGTATATAAGCAAAGTAAATAATAATAATAATAATAATAATAATAATAATAATAATAATACATCAACAGAAATTGATTCAGTAATTTTACTCTAGTTAGGACTAAAATATGATTTAGGCGATAAACTGTGTGAAGTACTATGAACAATGAACACTGAAACCGTACTATAATATTGATTCCTACATCTAGTTAGAACCAAATATTGGTGTCTACTTCTATCTGGGATGTCCAACCTCTCTAGACATGAGTTGTGACCATGAACGGTTCTCACTTATACACAGTATCATGGACTGTGTATAAGGGAATTATTGAAGAAAATATTCCGACAAGATTCTTATATAGGTATCATATATAAAAGGAAAAAAAATGCTTAAAACTCTTCTGTCTTGTATGTCTTACGTTCTACCAAGCATAAAATGGAGGTTTCCTTCCCAGCTTCTTGAGAACAGGGAGAAGTTGTTAGACCACATATAGGCAAAGTGGTTCACTTGTTCATTCTGAAACGACACTCCACCTTTGGGGACAACTTTCTTAGACAATTAAAAGTATAGTCTGAGTTACAAGAACACTGACTTTATAATGGCAGCACTCTCTTGTGTAGCCCTTAATCTCAGAGGTAACAACGGCATGAGGACACTGTGCATGCCCCCTACCTCTTGGTCCTACTTCCTATCTTCACATGTTAACAGCTGCTCATGACAGGGCAAACATCAGCAAAAAGGTGGCTGGATAAATATTACAATAAATATGCATGGGAACCTGGGCTGTCTTGCATAAATGTCCAAGACAGAACTTGGGACAACATGATGGGATTCAGTGAGGCTGCTGTCTAGCTACTTAATCACACTAGAGAATGGATCCACTTTAAATCTGGTTTCTACCTCCTGCAGAATTCTGGGGTTTGTAGTTTAGGAAGGATGTTAAAGGCTCCTCTCTAAACTACAAACCCCAGAATTCTGCAGGAGACAGAAACCAGATTTGAAGTGCCACTGTTCAATGTTTATGCTATTTGTGTATGAGATTTATTTTAATTGCTTTGTATTAGTATTTGAATTTTGCTTCGCATTGTAATTGTTAATGCTTGTATTGATGTATTGTGGGCTCGGCCTCATGTAAGCCACACCGAGTCCCTTGGGAGATGGTAGCGGGGTATAAATAAAGTATTATTATTATTATTATTATTATTATTATTATTAAACTTTATTTGTACCCCGCTAGCATCTCCCGAAGGACTCGATGCGGCTTACAAAGGCCAAGGCCTCAAACAACAACAACAGACAATAACAATATAATACAAGCAAATTAAAAACATAAGCAATAACAACAACAACATTACACTATTACGCAATAAAACCAGGGCCGGGCCAATGAAGGGTACAGGTTAAAAAGTTGGGGTTCTGGGCAAGTGCAATGTGCACTTAAGCTCTAATAAAGTGCTTCTGGGATGTAGTGCTGGAGGTTATCCTATTCTGGAAAGGCACATCGGAATAGCCAGGTCTTCAAGTTCTTCCTAAAGACTGCCAACGTGGGTGCTAGTCTAATGTCTTTGGGAAGGGTGTTCCAAAGTCGGGGGGCAACCACAGAAAAGGCCCTGTCCCTCGTCCCCACCAAACGAGCCTGCAACACAGGTGGAATCGTGAGCAGGGCCTCTTCGGATGAACGGAGGGAGCGCGTGGGTTTGTCTACGGAGATGCGGTCACACAAGTAGGCAGGTCCCAAACCGTTTAGGGCTTTGTAGGTAAGCACCTGCACCTTGAATTGGGCTCGGTAGGTAAACGGCAGCCAATGGAGCTCCTTAAACAGAAGGGTTGACCTCTCTCTGTAAGGGGCGCCAGTTAACATCCTGGCCGCCGCCCGTTGAACCAGTTGGAATTTCCGAGCCGTTTTCAAGGGCAGCCCCACGTAGAGCGCATTACAGTAATCCAACCTAGAGGTGACTAAGGCATGGACCACCCCGGCCATTAAAGTGGATTCATTCTCTAGTGTGATGAGTTGTTAGATTGCCTTTGAAGAGGGGCATAAGAATAGTTTTACTGGATGTGACCAAAGATCTATTGGTTCAAGCACACTCTTTCCCAAAATTATCAGCTAGAAACTTCTGTGTAACCCACATTAGAGGCTTGCCTTCATTTAGTGACAGGTCTTGGGAAGCAATGAGAGGCCAAGTGCCTCCCCCCACCCCTTTCTGAGCCACTGACTAGCTATAACTTTTCTGAATTAGCTCCAAACACTGCAGCAGCAATAGCAAACAAGACCATAGTTACATTACAGAGTGCCAGAAAAAGGACCTTCTTGTCTCCCCTGAAATTGCTGCCCATCATTTTACTGAATAATCCTGAGTTACAGAGAGAGGGCAGAAAAATATTTCTAATAAATAATGCTATAAATCTTTCCCCTGTATTGTCGAAGGCTTTCATGGCTGGAATCACTAGGTTCTTCCGGGTTTTTTCGGGCTATAGGGCCATGTTCTAGAGGCATTTCTCCTGACGTTTCGCCTGCATCTATGGCAAGCATCCTCAGAGGTAGTGAGGTGACCTCACTACCTCTGAGGATGCTTGCCATAGATGCAGGCGAAACGTCAGGAGAAATGCCTCTAGAACATGGCCCTATAGCCCGAAAAACCCCCACAAGAACCTAATCTTTCCCCTGTTTTCTACCCTACACAGCTAAGCTTATCCATCTGGTTACAGCTAACATATTGCTTAGAAACCCCATTTTTATGTGTTAATTTGTTCCCCAGATATTTAAAAACTCGCTTAAGTAACTCACACAATACCAAATTTGGTAGCTGGAATAAAAGGCAAAATGTTATTTTTGTCCAACTTTTGAGAAACAAATTGACTATGGCTTCCTAAAAAGTAAAGGACAAAGGCAATTGGCTTGTATGAGGCTCATCGCTGTCTTGCAATCGTAAGCAACACAGAATTTCTATTAAGTGTAATTGGAAAAAAAGGTAAAAGAAGGACAGTGAAGCAAGCTAAGCTTTTTAATGGTGTTTTTACCTGCACAGGAAGATGCTCCGAGAATTACATCATCATCATTTTGAGCGTGCAGGGGAATCAGAGTTGTGCAGAGCAAAGCAGCCAAAAGGGCTTCTGAGAACATCTCAGCGATTGGGTTTTAAGTCCTGTGAAGCAAAAATCAATATAAAAATCACGAACAGTGTAATATTTAAATAAGTTTTATTGCACTCTCAGCAATTTTTGTGGTTAGTCTGGATGACTAACTTGAATGTTAGGTTAGAAAATTTTAGTCCCGTGAATGTTGATCTTGGATGCTGGAAAACTTAGGTCTGAATGGCAGCTTAACCATGGGTGACCTTGGGCAAGTTATACTCTTTCACCATGCATCCATGTTGTAGAGTTAATGCAGTTTAACATCCCTTAACTGCCATGGTCCAGCGCTGGGAGTCACAGTTTGGTGAGGCACCAGCATTCTTTGGCATAGAAAGCTAAAGATCTTGTAAAACTACAACTCCCATTATTTCAGAGTATTGAGCCACAGCGGTTCAAGTGGTGTCAAACTGCATTGATTCTACAGTGTAGATATACCCCTTTTTTCAGAGAAAAACAAGACCAAATCCCTCTGAACAAATCTTGGCAACAAAAACCTACAATAGTTACCGTAAGTTGGAGTTTATTTGAAAGCAATTGATAACAACAAAAGAGAATGTGTTAAATCAAGTGTAGGAAAGGATTTTTCTCAAAAGGAGCTCTCAAAGTGAGCTCTTCTTGGCTGTATTCCTATCAGGAATCTCCCAGATTCTTTATTGGATGTCCATATTGTTTTAGCACCAAGTATTTGTAAGAGCCCCCGGTGGCGCAGTGGGTTAAAGCACTGAGCTGCTGAGCTTGTTGATCGAAAGGTCGCAGGTTCGATTCCGGGGAGCGGCATGAGCTTCCGCTGTCAGCCCTAGCTTCTGCCAACCTAGCAGTTCGAAAACATGCAAATGTGAGTAGATCAATAGGTACCGCTCTGGAGGGAAGGTAACGGCGCGCCATGCAGTCATGCCGGCCACATGACTTTGGAGGTGTCTACGGACAACGCTGGCTCTTCGGCTTAGAAATGGAGATGAGCACCACACCCCAGAGTCAGACATGACTGGACTTAGTGTCAGGGGACTACCTTTACCTTTTATTGGTAAGGGAAGCAAAATGAAGGCTGTGCATGGGACCCCATCCATATTTGATGAGATTAGTCAGGTATGAGTGAATTTGTCTAAACTTGTGTTCTTCTCCTCATTATCGCACACCATGAAGAAACCATAATACAATAAAACCCTCTTATCCACAGATTCAATACCCACTATTATTCAGAGTTTCAGGTATCCATAGGGGGTGTCTTAGAACATATCCTCCAAGGATATAGGGAGGTCATACTATATAGATGTTGGTGGCTAAGGGAAAGAATGCCCAGAGGCTGGCAAATCCATTACTGACTATTTTTTTGCAAAATGGTGGGTTGACTTCAAAAAATAATACATCCCAAGCTAAAATGTTATATTGTGCCCCTAAACAGTGCCTAATCCGTTTTAGCCAGTGATTTTTTTGAACATGTGATCTGAGTCCTTTCCTTCTGTCAGGGATTTTTGCTAGTTTGGCTGGGAAAGACCCAAGAAAACAGGATTACCATATATTCTGGTGTATAAGACTACTTTTTAACCCAAGAAAATTTTCACAAAAGTCAGGGGTCGTCTTATACCCAGGGTTATCTTATACGCAGGAGTAGTCTTATACATGGGAATACTCTTATACCTGGGAGTAGTCTTACACACAGGAGTAGTCTTATACGTGGGAGTCGTCTTATACACCGGGAGTCATCTTATAGAGCACGTGTTGAAACTTCCAATCAGGAATGGAGAATCTGTGGTTGCTGCATATGATGGGGGGAGCTCAAAAATGGCAGTGGCTGCATCCCTGCCATATGCAGCGACGGTATGAAAGCATTAAGGGCAACGCTGTACAAGTACGGTAGAAGAAAATCCATTCATCAGGATTTGTGGACTTAATCCGGTCCCGATGGTGAGGTGAAGGGGCACCTCACTGAGAAGGTGTAAGTGAAGGGCGGAGCAAGCTGCAGGCTTCCCGGGCGCCCGGGGTATGGAAAAACACACCTCTTTTACCTGTCTGGCCCGCCCTTGTATCCTATTACCATACCTCCTCCTCTGCCTCTCAGATCTCACTCCTGAAGACTGCAGTGAAGTGCTGCAGGTGCGCAGGTGTGAGATCTGAGAGGCAGAGAAGGAAGTACAGTAATAGGAAAATTACCATATTGAAATCAAATCTGACGCTTTTTAAATTTTTATTTGATGTGCGTTGGAAGAGGGGTAGTCTTATACGGTGAATATATCACAAACTCTATATTTTAACTGGAAAAGTTGGGGGTCATCTTATACGCCCAGTCGTCTTGTATGCCGGAATATATGGTAAGTATCTGCTTCATGTCAGGGATGACCGCAGAACCACCCTCACCCCCCAAATGGTATAATCTCATTCATGACTAGTTGCTGGGGGACAACTGCTCGTCCTCACAACCATTGTCTTGTGGGGTCCCGCAGGGTCCAATACTGTCCCCCATGTTGTTTAACATCTACATGAAGCCGCTGGGAGAGATCATCCGAGTTTCGGGGTGCGGTGTTATCTGTACGCAGATGATGTCCAACTCTGTCACTCCTTCCCACCTACTACTAAGGAGGCTGTTCAGGTCCTGAACGGGTGCTTGGCTGCTGTGTCGGACTGGATGAGGGCTAACAAATTGAAATTGAATCCAGACAAGACAGAGGCACTCCTGGTCAGTCGAAAGGCCGAACAGGGTATAGGGTTACAGCCTGTGTTAGACGGGGTCACACTCCCCCTGAAGACGCAGGTTCGCAGCTTGGGTGTGACCCTGGATTCTTCGCTAAGCCTGGAACCCCAGGTCTCGGCGGTTTCCAGGGGAGCATTTGCACAATTAAAACTTGTGCGCCAGCTGCGCCCGTACCTTGGGAAGTCTGACTTGGCCACGGTAGTCCACGCTCTGGTTACATCCCGTATAGATTACTGCAACGCGCTCTACGTGGGGTTGCCTTTGAAGACTGCCCGGAAGCTTCAAATGGTCCAGCGTTTGGCAGCCAGGTTGCTAACAGGAGCGGCACTCAGGGAGCATACTACTCCTCTGTTGCGCCAGCTCCACTGGCTGCCAGCTTGCTACCAGGCACAATTCAAAGTGCTGGCGTTAGACTATAAAGCCCTAAATGGTTCTGGCTCTTCTTACCTCTCCAAACGCATCTCCTCCTATGAACCGACTAGGACATTAAGATCGTCCGGGGAGGCCCTGCTCTCGGTCCCGCCTGCGTCACAGGCACGGTTGGCGGGGACGAGGGACAGGGCCTTCTCGGTGGTGGCCCCTCGGCTATGGAATGCCTTACCTGTAGACATCAGACAGGCCCCTTCGCTGCTGGCGTTCCGGAGGAAGGTTAAGACCTGGCTCTACGAACAAGCGTTTGGCTAAGCAGTGCAACTGAACACAGGAAGACGGTAAAATTGAACATAGGAAATGGTACAAGGATTATGAGAACGGATTCTGATTTGTTATTGAGGCGTTATGATATGATAATGATTGTTTGATTTTGTCTGCTGTATATGATGTGTTTTAATCGCTTAGGATATTGTTGTGATAACCTGTATTGTGTAAACCGCATTGAGTCGCCTAATTAGGCTGAAAAATGTGGTATAGAAATAAAGCAAAGCAAATAAATAATATGCTCGGGAAAGTAAAAATTTCCAGAATAAGACTGTTATGAACAGTCAGGGAAAAATCCAGGCTTTTGGTTGTGTTTGTGTTGTCTGAGTGACAAGGCAATGGGAAGATATGTCCCTTATAGCAATGCTGATGGCATACTGGCATAGCTTTTTCAGATACAATATACATGGCAATATTCCTCTCATATTTTCACAAAACAGAGAGAATATGGCCCGGTTACTAGACATGGTAATCCTGTTTGGGTGGCTGTACCATTTTAGATATATTTCATTGATTTATACAGCTCTCTATTTTTAAAAAGCTCCTGTTCTAGACTGGACATTGTAAACACCTATAGGGGAACATTCACACATGTAGTCTGACACAGGCAACTCTTCACTTTGGCCCCTTCTACACTGCCCTATATTCCAGGATTTGATCCCAGTGTATATCAGATCCTGGGATATAGGACAGTGTAGAAGAGGCCTTTGTCCCCCTCTTGTCAACCCTGTCACTTGCTATGGGCCTGCCAGTGAGCTTGCAGTGAAAAGTATCCATGTCAAATTCAGACATTTGATCCATTCTTATCAGGTGATAAAAGGTCTGGAGAACAAGCCCTATGAGGAGCGGCTTAAGGAGCTGGGCATGTTTAGCCTGAAGAAGAGAAGGCTGAGCGGGGATATGATAGCCATGTATAAATATGTGAGAGGAAGCCACAGGGAGGAGGGAGCAAGCTTGTTTTCTGCTTCCCTGGAGACTAGGACGCGGAACAATGGCTTCAAACTACAAGAGAGGAGATTCCATCTAAACATGAGGAAGAACTTCCTGACTGTGAGAGTCGTTCAGCAGTGGAACTCTCTGCCCCGGAGTGTGGTGGAGGTTCCTTCTTTGGAAGCTTTTAAACAGAGGCTGGATGGCCATCTGTCAGGGGTGATTTGAATGCAATATTCCTGCTTCTTGGCAGGGGGTTGGACTGGATGGCCCATGAGGTCTCTTCCAACTCTTTGATTCTATGATTCTATGATTCTAGGTCCTTCTTGTAACAAACAATTCCTAGACAGATTGTTTAAAAGCTGAAGAAGGTTTCTCAAAAGGGCACTTTTCAGGAGGGAACCTAATTAATAGAAACCAGCAAAGGGAAGCATGTTTAAAGACCACTAAACTTGCTGAAGAAAGGAATGCTTTTAAGGCACTATTACACTATTTAACAAAATTTGAAAAATCGTCTGTTCCTTGTTTGAAAGTATTATTTCCTGTTTAGGTGTGTGGTACTTACTTTGAAAGTATATCTCCAGAAACTTTGTTTTGTGGCTGCCACAAACTATGTTGAATTGATTGAGACTCTATGAGATACTCACTGAAAAACTATAGCAAACTGTACTGCAGGATGTCCCACAAAGACAAAGG